CGAGTATCTCATTTGTCATATTAAAATTGACACTATAGACTGTTTTTGTAATAACAATAGTAATAATAATTACTTACATTTACACAGTGCTTTTCTGGACACTCAAAGCACTTTTTTTTTGGGGGGAAATCACCTCATCCACCACCAGAGTGCAACCTGGATGAAGTGAGGGCAGCCATATTGCGCCAGATGCACACCAGCTGGTTGGTGAGGAGGACACAAAGTGTTGAAGACAATGTGATATGGGAATGGTTAAGAGGCCTTGATGGACAGAGACCAGTAGATTTGGCCAGGATGCCAGGGTTAAACCCCTACTCTTTTTCGAAGGACATTCTGGGATTTTTAACGACCACAGAGAGTCAGGACCTCGGTCTCATGTGAAAGACGGCACTCACTGAGCACTATAGAGTCCCCTTCACTATACTGTTAGGACCCACACAGACCGCAGGTTAAGCGCCCCCTGCTGGCCTCACTAACACCACTTCACAAATTTGTGTTCACACATGTCAATAAACAGAATATAAAGCATAATTAAAGCAGGCAGACAGAACACACAGGTCATCGCTGATAGATAAAGATATGTTTATTGACACATATCCATCAGTGCGGCCTCCAATGCAACCGAACATGCAGTACATCCACGACAACAGATCATAGTTCCAGTGCTTATTTAACTGAACACGCATGTACAAAAAAACCCATGATGGATCACTGAGGAGGTATTCGTCATCATATCGTTTGAGAATGTACACTGAAGGACACTATTTCAATGGGAAGATGGCGGATTTGATTTTGTAATATATATTTGTTTTTACGAAAATAGCAGGACATGTTGCCCATCATCATGTACATGTGAACTTTGGTCGACAACATTTAAGACATGCAATAGATGCTCCGCCCTTTCTAGGTTCTGATAAAAATAAAAATAAAGGATCACACCGTATTAGATATGCTCGTTTTCTTTCGAAGTATGATAATAGCAAAGATCCACTGGAGAGAAACTCGGATATGGCAGTAAAATTGTTATCCAAAAAGGCACTAGGTGAGCCAAACGCTACGGCTGTTTAGTCTACAAATAAATTACAATTCAAAACAGTGCAGTTACATTTGTTAACTTAATGTTTTCCTCTTTTGAAACATTTATCTATGAGTCAAATGTAAGGCAACAAATTACAAAAAGATATGAATATTACAGAAAACAATGTACCCGATGAACACACACCGACACAAAAACGCTTCCGTGGTTTTCATGACAGTTTAAGCCTCCTGATGCCATCGAGATGGCTTGGAGACTCCAAAAAGCGATGATGATAATGACAAATATGATAATATGATGCATAGATGTAATTACTCTCCATGCTCCGCTTAAAAAAACCCCAAAAATCTCCCCTCAGAAACTCTCAGTACCCAACAGTTTGTCCCAAACCTAAATCATTTTCCACAGAGACTTTGAGGGACAGAATAAGGCAACCAGAGTCCGTCAGAAGGCGGCGTCGGAGTGGATTAAAGAGGAAATAGTTTGAAAACCAAAACAAAAAGACCCTTTCATGGTCCCAAATTTCCCCTTTATTGTGTCGTCCGAACAGAACAGCTGATAGTTTCCTTCCCAAGATGTGAAAAGACGTCAAAGCTTTTCCTCTGGACAGAAGGAGATGTAATGTGGGAAAATAGAGAAAGATGGCGCCAAAAAACCTCCATGATGTCTTTGTGAAACGCGAATCTCGGATTTCCAGCACCAATTACAGTCTTTTCTTAAACTGGTTTGTGTGAAATGCAACTTTAAAAGGTTAATTCAAAGTTTTGTTACGTGTTTTTTTTTTTTTCTGTTTTTCGTGTGAGGTTTTTGCAGAGGACAGTACAAAATCCCAATTTTATCCAGAAGTTCAGATGGTTAGCTGGAAGAAAGAAGAGAAAGAAAACAACTCTAGAAAGTGTACATGTAGAATCACTCTGAATGCAGATCCCTGTTAAAGGCAGTTTTATATGATTGACACACACCCACACACGCGTTTTAAGTTAGGATGTGACAGGAACACAACACACACATTTAACCGCAGTAAAGTATTTTACATGAAGTAAATGAAGCCTGTCAAATTAAACAGATCTTTAAAGAGATTTTTTTCACTTCATATCAAGATTACTGCATGTTATAGTATTGAGTTTGGAAATCTGAAAGGAAAATGTTATTAATTTGTCCTGCAATATGGAATAGTTTTACATTTTTTACAGTATGATATTAGTGTCATATATGGATTTAAATCCACATAAAACAAAGGCTGTACAACAAATAATAGCATTTTGTAACAATATTTAGCACATAATAATCGATTATATACATTCTTCCTGTTTATCTCACAACAATATTGTTTAAGTAATGACAAATTTGTGGATAATTTGGGAGTTGTGGTGAAATATCTTTTGAGAAATCGATTCTACATTTATTCTTGGATTTTCAAAATGCATCGCTGTTTTCTCTTGAATCAGTTAGGAGCCTTATATTTTTAATTTCATTAAATCATCAACTTTATTAATGAGTGTTTTACGTTCGAGTGGTTTGTTTAAGGATTGTCAGAGCACGGCTGTTTGTTAAGAATACAGAATTATCAATGACAATTAATGCAGAATTATTTCTCGATTCACAATGTCTCAGTCCTTGCCTAGAGCACCCTTAAAAACTAGCCTAGAGCGCCGTCTGATGTAAAACACTAGCCTAGAAAGCCGTCTACTGTTAAAAACACGTCTAGAACGCCGTCTGCTATTAAAAACTAACCTAGAGCGCCGTCTACTGTAAAAAACAAGTCTAGAGCGATGTCCGCTGTTAAAAGCAAGTCTAGAGTGCCGTCCGTTGCTAAAAAGTAGCCCAGAGCAGCGTATGCTGTTAAAAACTAGCCTAGAGCGCAGTCTATTGTAAAAAAAAAAAGACAGAGCGCCATCCACTGTTAAAAACCAGCCTAGAGCAACGTCTGCTGTTAAAAACTAACCTAGAGCGCCATCTACTGTAAAAAAAAAGACAGAGCGCCATCCACTGTTAAAAACTAGCCTAGAGCACCGTCTGCTGTTAAAAACAAGTCTAGAGCGCCATCTGATGTTAAAACTAGCCTAGAGCGCCGTCTTCTGTTTAAAAAAGTCCTAGAGCGCTGTCTGCTGTTAAAAACAAGCCTAGAGCACCATCTGCTGTAAAAAAAGACATAGAGCGCCATTCACTGTTAAAAACTAGCCTAGAGCGCCGTCTGCTGTTAAAAACAAGTCCAGAGCGCCGTCTGCTGTTAAAAACTAGCCTAGAGCGCCCTCACCTGTTAAGAACAGTCTTAGAGCGCTGTCTGCTGTTAAAAACAAGCCTAGAGCACAGTCTGCTGTAAAAAAAGACAGAGCGCCATCCACTGTTAAAAACTAGCCTAGAGCGCCGTCTGCTGTTAAAAACAAGTCCAGAGCGGCATTTGCTGTTAAAAACTAGTCTAGAGTGCCGTCTGCTGTTTGAAAACTAGCCAAGAGCACCCTCTGCTGTTAAACACTAGCCTAGAGCGCCGTCTGATGTTAAAAACAGTCCTAGAGCGCCGTCTGCTGTTTAAAAACTGGCCAAGAGCACCTTCTGCTGTTAAACACTAGCCTAAAGCGCCGTCCCTTGTTAAAAACTATCCTAGAGCACAGTCTGCTGTTAAAAACTAGCCTAGAGCACCATCCCTTGTTAAAAACTAGTCTAGAGCACCGTCTGCTGTTAAAAACTAGCCTAGAGCGCCGTTCGCTGTTAAAAACTAGCCTAGAGTGAAGTCCGCAGTTAAAAACTCAAAGAGTAATCAGAGATGCATTTTGAAAGTCTCACGCAGAATCGATTTCAAGCTGTTTTTGTCACAGCTCTAGATAACTCACATGTAAATATAATTTTTAATAAGAATAAAGTAAACAAGAAGGCCGACACTAACTTTGCCTCATCACTAGATATGAGCAGATGCGTGATGCATCCTAAATATATGAATGATACAAATTAGCCGTCAAAATAGTTATATTGTGTTGTTACGTCCTGACTGATACAGAAGCAGATATATTCACACTCAGCAAGGTGTACTTAATAACAAATCAAACAGTCAAGCTGTCAACAAAGTCGCTCCATTTACTTCATGTCAAAATACTTCCATCAGATTTCATGAACATCACCTCTTCATACCATCATAGAAGGATGAAGACAGAGAAACTTTGATAAGCTTGTATTAAATTGACACTCTAGTCAGATATTTGTCTACATTAAAGTTTACTGAATGCCAATTCCCAAGTCAAGAGCGTCTTTTCTTGCAGATGAAAATAACTTAAGAGCGGGAAAGCCCACAGAGCCTCAGTCCAGCTCAAGTAAAGTCCCTCTGAATGGGGTATATGCACAGGGACTTTTAATTTTCAGTCAGCCAGCAAAAGCACTTCCTGTGAACTGTCATGCCATTATAAACTCACCACATTTAAGATCTAGTTTGTTTAAAAATCAGCAATCACTGTCTGATTGAGATACGATAGAAAAGCGCATCTTAAACTGCATTAAATTCAATTAAATCTTTAAAATATGGACATTTATTTTACCACACTATTTTCAATGGAGTTATAGTGCTCGCCTGCTGCTACTGACAGCACTTCTATACATGGCTTTTCATCTAATTTCACGCCTAAACAACAAAATCAATGCTTAAATCAATTTAACTGCTTGTATTTGAATGAAATGATGCTGTAAAAGTAACCTAGTGAAACTGAAAATAGCCACATTAACCTTACGGGTGCCTGAAAACTATTGCTGTGCATATAGCCCGTTGCCCAAACACTGGTAAAGTTTTCAAAGGAAAGAATTTGCCGGTTCAAGAAAGTCATAAGAAAAGAAGAGTCCTCCAAAATAAAAGTCCCCACAGTTAAGCCTCAATCTAACAGATGGAGCGCTGGACTACAGCATTGCACAGTAAAGGTGTTGGGAAGCTGAATGATGTGGTCAGCATGTGCTGGAGGTTGTGTCTGCAGCCTGGAGAATGGACTGTGCCCTGCTATGAGATTAGATAATATAAAGATAAAGATGTAAGATCATCTATAAAGATTGGATATAAGTGCTATAACAGCCCGTCACCACACTGCACTGCATTATAGCCTTCAGTAGCACAATTACAATCAGAAATACTCCAGTCATATTTCACCCCAAATATCAAGATATATCCAAAATATACAGCTCAAGTCAGACTTATTACTTTAGAAGTTTTAGATTTTCCCCCAAGTGAGGAGACTGTTTTAACATTTTAATACATAATAGATTTAATGACTGATTTCTTTTACCTTTGCTTTATTTTGTTTGTTTACAATCACTCAAAACATAGCTGACCTTGTTTGCATTCTATATATTAAATCATTTATTAATTAAATAGCATTCACTACCTGATTATTGTCGCCTATCTAAGTTTTAGGAAGAACAGATAACAACTTGACTTTTAGTTGATCATCTGGTATCGGATGTGGCTAATGAGAAAGGCAAAGGCCTCTAGATTATTATGCTTATTTTACCACATTAAAACATGGTCATGCCTTGATCTTTAATGATTTCATTAGGACAGTAAGATCTGACTCTACTTAGACAAAAGTCTCATTACTGAACAGAAATAATGTCCAGTATAGAATATAAAGTCCTGCTGCAGTGGAGACAGAATGAATATTGTGTCTGACTCCATCATGAGCTTGAAGGTCTGCATCCATACATCTCTAACTCAAATCACTGATTAATAAAGTCATCTGGAATGGCAGAGGAAGCGTTTCTGCAGGACTCCCAGAGTTCATCAACATCCTTTGGATTCATCTTCAACGCCTCCTCCATCTTACCTCAGACATGCTCAATAATGTTCATGTCTGGTGACTGGGCTGGCCAATCCCAGAGCACCTTGATCTTCTTTGCTTTCAGGAGCTTTGATGTGGAGGCTGAAGTATGAGAAGGAGCGCTATCCTGCTGGAGAATTGTCCCTCTCCTGTGGTTTGTAATGTAATGGGCAGCACAAATGTCTTGATACCTCAGACTGTTGATGAATGTTCTGAATGTTACCCCAAACCATGATTTTTCCTTCACCGAACTTGACTGATTTCAGTGAGACTCTTGGGGCCATGCGTGTTCCAGTAGGTCTTCTGCAGTATTTGTGATGATTGGGATGCAGAAAAATCTACCTTCTGCCACAAATTGGCGCTCATTCAATTTCTTGAACAGATCTTTTAAAATTGCACGATATTGCCAAAATTCCATACCCTGACATTATTTCTTTGATGTTCTGGGGTGAAATATGACTTCACATTAAAGGGCTAGTTCACCCAAAACTCAAAAATTCCTATACATTTACTCACTCGCAGCTCATCCAAGATCTAGGTGACTTTTTTTCATCAGCAGAACATTAAAGATGATTTTGAGCTGAATCTGTGGCTCATGGTGATTCATATAATGGCAGTGAATGGTGACCCATTTTTGAGATTAAAAACAAACACATACAAACCAAATCAATAGTTGTGGCTCCTGTTTACACACTGAGCTCTTGGGAAGCAAAAAGAAATTGAACATTATTTACAATATTATTAGCTTTGATCCTCAGCCTGGTCCAAACAGTTCTCGGTGCATGTCTGAATGTAGTCCGATTGTAGTCCAGTCGCGTTTGAGGGTGAATGCCAGCATGTGCGCATTTGGAGCAGGCCATGGATAAAAGCTAACAATATTGTAAATAATATTCAGTTTCCTACACAAACCAATGGTTTTGCTTCATAAGACCTCAGTGTGTCATCAGGAGCCATGGCTATTGATTTGGGGTCGTTTCATACCTGTCATCCCTCCCGTTTTTCCCAGGAGTCTCCTATATTTTACAGTTCTATCACACTATCATCCTGTAAAGGGATTTTCCCGTATTTCAATCTTTCTATGAAAGGTGGCAATAAACATTAAAGAGCCGATCCTCCCTATATACAACCCATCCCACCGAACCACCAGGGGCCGCCCTTTGCTCTTAAATGAGAGTCTGATCTGTGCTTTCATTTTATTTAGGCATGAAAACACTTTAAAATAAATATAAAAACGGCGAAATTCCCTTCCTTTTCAATACAGGTGCCGTCGCCCCTCATATGCAATCCTCAAAACAGTCATATAGCAGTGCGTGACTGTCAGCTGGCGCGCTCAATAGTGATAAATAGGCGCTGTTTCCCAAACAAATTCTGTACACGTCATTTGAAGCGGAGCGGAGCGGAGATGTCAGTCTTGGTGGGCATATGCCTTATTTTCACATCTCAATGTTGACAGGTATGGCTTGTATATACGTGTTATAGACCTATCACCATTCACTGCCATTATATAATTACCAAACAACACAGATTCAGCTCAAGTCTTCTTTAAAGATCCGGTAAAGTGCTTTAAATGTGTATTTTTATTCAATGTTTGATGTAATCTCAATTAAACACAAAAAGAGGGTGGTACATAACATAGCTCCACCCCTTTTTAAAAAACAGCCAATAGAATTTTTTATGTAATCTCAATCGAAAAACAAAAAGAGGGTGGTACATAACATAGCTCCACCCCTTTTTAAAAAACAGCCAATAGAATTTTTTATGTAATCTCAATCGAAAAACAAAAAGAGGGTGGTACATAATGTAGCCCCACCCCTTTTAAAAACAGCCAATAGAATTTTTGGATGTAATCTCAATCGAAAAACAAAAAGAGGGTGGTACTTAATGCAGCTCCACCCCTTTTTAAAAAATCAGCCAATAAAATTTTTGATGTAATCTCAATCGAAACACAAAAAGAGGGTGGTACATAATGTAGCTCCACCCCTTTTAAAAAACAGCCAATAGAATTTTTGATGTAATCTCAATCGAAAGACGAAAAAGAGGGTGGTACATAATGCAGCTGCAACCCAACAGCCAATAGAATTTAGTTTATCGCCACTCTACCAGTGAGAGTGGCTGAGCTTAAGCGCATTCAATGTGAAGGGGGCGGGGCAATCCAGATACTAGAGAGCATTTGATTGGTCAGAAGATTAGATGAGAAGCTGAGATATGAGGTGACGTGAATAAAACCGTTGCTCCATTCAGGTAGAAGTGAGTAAATGAACAGGAAATTTTCATTTTTGCGTGAACTATCCCTTTAAATCCAGAGTAACTGTTTGCTGCTTAACCAAGCACATTGGGATTAAGTAATACTGTGAGTGTGTGAAGCTGAATTACCTGGGCTTTCCTGGGACATTTTTGGGGTTTTTGCGGAAGGACTGGTTGGCTCCGGAACGAACGGACATTGATCGAGGAGACTGCCGTGCGAAGGTGGATGGTGGAGTCTTGGGAATCTTCTTGCCTAGATGACCGATCCATTTCTTCTGCTCGTCTTGAGACAAAGCCAGAAGTAGCATATCTCTAGCCGACGTCACGTCATAGTTCACTGAGAGACGAGAACAAAATTAGACATCAAACATGAAAAACATCTGTTTAACAGAAATTGGGGGAAAATATACAGGGGGCTAATAAGTCTGACTTCAGCTGTATGCGATAATAAAAAAGTACTTAATGAGATTAATGAGACCCAAAACTGAAAATTACCATGACATTTTAATCCAAGGTTATCATAACGTCAGAATCTTATACCCAAATAATAAATCAGGGTTTCTGCAGGCTTCACAGAGTTAAATTTAAGACTTTTCAAGGCATTATGAATGAAATTTTTGACCATTTTTCAAATGGCCCGAATGGAAAAGATTTTTATTTGTGTATTAAAACATTCAAATTTAATCAATTTAATAACACAATAATATATCAATAATAAAAAAAACTATATTTTGGATTTTATTTCTTAGCTAAATCTTTTAAATATTGTGTAAAAACCAGCAAGCTCTACTTGTATCCATTAAACAACATACAACATTAAACAATTAAACTTTCTTTTTAATAATTGTTGAAAATGAACAAATGTTTTAAAAGCTTTAAAAACTATAATCAACTAAATACAACAATCTGTCAAGGGGTGCATTTCCCAAAACCATCGTTAGCCAACTGAGATTGCAAGTTCCATCGTCACAAACATAGTTTGTTGATGTGCTGTTTCCCAAATCCGTCGCTCCAGCGAACATTCGCAAACTGCGTCGCAAACTTAAGCACTGGCAACCACACTTCTGGAGCTGTAGTTTGAAACAGTTTCTGGATGTGTTCTATCTATTTTAACAAAACTAATATTGGATTTTACTTTAAATGCCTGTTTGTGTAAAACAATTTAATTTTAAATTTATCTCTACAGAAGTAGTTAGAAGTATCCACTTTAGAGCATTATAATGGGCGTTTTACATTATAACTAATGTAGTTCAAGCGATGGATCTGCGACAGAGAAACTTCAGGTTTTGGGAAACAGTCGTCACTACATAGTTCTTTTCCCAAAAGATGCATCGTACTATGACAGTTCAGCGGTGAGTTACGTCATTGTTTGGAAAACACACCCCAGGTCGGTGTCCTCAGCAGTGGAGACCATTTAAACAAATGTAACTGTAAGAAAGATAATTAAACCATTATGATACATAGCTGCCGGATTTGACTGCAAAACACGAACAAAGGAAAATGAAGACCTGTTTAAACAAAGATTTAAGACCAACAACACAATATTTCTGTAAATGTAAGACTTTTTAAGGCCTAAAATGTGGATTTTGAGATTTAAGACATTTTAAGACCCTGCAGAAACCCTGTAAGTATCGTAAACACAAGGGAACATTTTGCTGCTAGCTTCTAACCTTTGCAAGGGGTGATCATGTCCTCCTTCTTGTCCAGGTGATCTTTATGGCACTTTACGTGGCAGCGGCGGCACTCGAGGGCTGGCGGAGGCTTAAACACGTGCCACAGGGGTTTGGAGCAAGCTTCGCAGTTAGTGGGGAAATGGTAGAGCGTTGGGATGAACTCGTGGCCTTTGTGGGGCAAACAGTTGGCTTTATCTCCCTGAGGAACACTCTCCACATCTGTCTCCTTCCGGCATTCGCCTTCATTAGCATACAGGATCTAAACCACAAACACTCTCATTCAATTTGCAGATTCAGGTGAAGATATCAAAGGTTGTGAAGCTCATTTTAATGATCTATTTTAGAGATGCACAGTTAGGGTATATCTGAATCCACTTTTGCTGTTTTAACGGTGTGAAAAACAGTCTGCCTACCCAGCGCATAACCTAAAGGGGTTGTCTTTATTCTCTTAATCAGTAATGGGTGTGTTTTTGAGAGTAATGTGCATTAAACCCATCAGAGTTTGATCTCCCATTCCCTTTACGAGTGAGTTGGGATCTTGCCAAGCAGATTTGTTATTTACATGGCAGACTTAAGGTTGTGTGCTGCTGTGCCTCCCTGTGTGTGTAATAAGCAACGTGTACACGGATTGTGGACCACCAAATCACTAACACACTCTTTAAATAGCACGCATATGGTGATTATATCATTATGGGGCATTTTATGACCTTTATTATTAGAAAATATATTCAAAAACTGACCTGGAATATTCTTGGGATTTCATCAGTCTCTGCTCGGTAAACGTCACCTTGTGTGACAGGACGCACATGGAAAAGTTTACTGTGATGTGAACACAAAAACACATACATTTTAATATAGTAGCAAGTAAATCATTGCATTTTACAAACAGGAATGAATGAAATAACTGATAACATGGATTGGATTGGTGATTAACAGCAGACGGTGCTCTAGATTAGTGTTTAAGAGCAGATGGCATTCTAGGATAGTTTTAAAAGCAGACAGTGCTCTAGGCTAATGTTTAAGAGCAGACAGTGCTCTAGGCTAGTGTTCAACAGCAGATAGCGCTCTAGGCTAGTGTTTAACAGCAGACGGCCCTCCAGTGTAATGCTTAACAGCAGATGGCACTCTAGGCTAGTGTTTAACAGCAGACGGCGCTCTAGGCTTGTTTTTATCAACAGACGGCGCTCTAGGCTAGTGTTTAACAGCAGACGGCGCTCTAGGCTGGTTTTTAAACAGCAGACAACGCTCTAGGCTTGTTTTTATCAACAGATGGCGCTCTAGGCTAGTGTTTATCAGCAGACAGCACTCTAGGCTTGTTTTTATCAACAGATGGCGCTCTAGGCTAGTGTTTATCAGCAGACGGCGCTCTAGGCTTGTTTTTATCAACAGATGGCGCTCTAGGCTAGTGTTTAACAGCAGACGGTGCTCTAGGCTAGTTTTTACCAGCAGATAACGCTCTAGGCTAGTTTTTAACAGCAGACGGTGCTCTAGGCTAGTTTTTAAACAGCAGATGGCGCTCTAGGCTAGTTTTTAACAGCAGATGGCGCTCTAGTCCTGTTTTTAAACAGAAGACAGCGCTCTAGCATAGTTTTTAAAGCTAACGTCATTCTAGGCTAGTGTTTAACAGCAGACGGCCCTCCAGTGTAATGTTTAACAGCAGATGGCACTCTAGGCTAGTGTTCAACAGCAGACGGCGCTCTAGGCTTGTTTTTATCAACAGACAACGCTCTAGGCTAGTGTTTAACAGCAGACGGCGCTCTAGGCTGGTTTTTAAACAGCAGACAACGCTCTAGGCTTGTTTTTATCAACAGATGGCGCTCTAGGCTAGTGTTTATCAGCAGACAGCGCTCTAGGCTTGTTTTTATCAACAGATGGCGCTCTAGGCTAGTGTTTAACAGCAGACGGTGCTCTAGGCTAGTTTTTACCAGCAGATAACGCTCTAGGCTAGTTTTTAACAGCAGACGGTGCTCTAGGCTAGTTTTTAAACAGCAGATGGCGCTCTAGGCTAGTTTTTAACAGCAGATGGCGCTCTAGGCTAGTTTTTAAACAGCAGACGGTGCTCTAGGCTAGTTTTTACCAGCAGATAACGCTCTAGGCTAGTTTTTAACAGCAGACAGCGCTCTAGCATAGTTTTTAAAGCTAATGTCATTCTAGGCTAGTGTTTAACAGCAGACGGAGCTCTAGGCTAGCTTTTAAACAGCAGACGGTGCTCTAGGCAAGGGTTTAACAACAGACGGCACTCTAGTCTAGCTTTTAAACAGCAGACGGCACTCTAGGATAGTGTTTAACAGCAGACTGTGCTCTAGGCTAGTTTTTATGGTTATTGGTCAGAATACTCACTCAATATCTAGTACCATAGAGGGATTGGACTGCTCCTTGTCCTGCTCGTCATTGTAAAAGAGGATTTTTTTACTGCTCACCACAACATACTGAAAGAAACAAATACACAAATATATATATATATATATATTAGAGAAGAGGGAGAAAAGCAGGTCATAAATGTCCAATTTTGTCATCCAAGTCTTACCTGTTTTTTCCAGCCATATCTTTTAATATTAGCTCTATTAGGTATTGCGAGCCAGCCTTCAAGCCTGGATTCTGAAGACAAATAAAATCCATTAAATTCAGAAGAAGGCAAAAGAAACAGACATGCACTAAAACACAAACCAAGGTCGTGAGACAATCCAAAACAAATGAAATAGCTGTAACTAACATGCTTAAACCAGGTACACTTTAAAGCAACTGCCTCACTGCACACTGTTGTAGCATCAAAAAATCCCAAACAAGGGCAGGACTTTTATATTATATTCCATAACGAATGAAATGGATGCTGAAAATGAGATGTTCAACACTTCCATGTGTGAATGAGAGAAAACAATGAGTAAAAAGCCATCAGGCAAAAAATTATTATTTAATAATGCACATGGACCACAACCTCTGTTATAGAAGTAAAAACAATAAAACAATTGGTTATACTTTTAATTAAAGATATTTTCACTTTTAATTACCCGTCTATTATTGGCTGTTTTTATAGTACTTTATTAGTTATTCTACATGATCTCTAAAAAATGTTGTTAAAAAAAAATTATAAAAAAAAACATTATAAAGTCGCAATTCTGAGATATTAAGAATTGTGACTTTATAACTCAGAATTGTGACTTTATAACTCAGAATTGTGACTTTATAACTCAGAATTGTGACTTTATAACTCAGAATTGTGACTTTATAACTCGGAATTGCAACTATAACTCAGAATTACGACTTTATAACACAATTGCGACTTTATAACTCGGAATTGCGACTTTATGACTTGGAATTGCGACTATAAATCAGAATTACGACATTATAACTAGCAATTGCGACTTTATAACTCGAAATTTTGACTATACATCGGAATTGTGACTTTATGACTCGGAATTGGTCTACATCACTCGGTTTTGTGATTGTATAACTCAGAATATCAACCTTAAAACTCGGAACTACGACTTAATAACTGGGAATTCTGACTTTATAACTCGAAATTGCGACTTTATAACTCGGAATTGGACTATATAACTCAGTTTTGCGACTAAATAACTCGGAATTACGACTTTATAACTCGGAATTACGACTTTATAACTTGGAATTCTGACTTTATAACAAGGGATTACAACTTTATGACTCGGAATTCTGACTTTATAACTCTGAATTCTGACTTTATAACTCGGAATTGCGACTTTATAACTCAAAATTCAAAATGGCAGGAATGGGCTTCCATACAATACCTAAACCCAACTATTACCTTAATAACTATTAATATCAGCAAATTAGTAGTTTATTTAAGTAAGAGCCATATTGATTGTGTATTAATTGCGAGAATTGTACCTTAAAATAAAGTGTTAGCAAGCATTGTATTTTAATTTAGTCTAACATAACCACAGCTAACAGGCTGATAGTTGATGATGTTTTCTTTTAGAATAATGTGCAATTCTGCATTATAAAGCCAGGAATGTTTATCATCTTCACAGGTTTATTAGTAATTGGCTCGGTACTTCAGCAGTGTTAAACTGTGCATTTTTTATCAAGTGACAAGCCAAACCTGTAATTGTAACCAAACCACTATAACCAAATTGAAACCAAACCATGATGCAATGCAGTTAAAATGTTACTGGTTTGAGAGTGTATGTGAAGACAGAAGAACTGGGGTCATGCATGAAGTGTGTGACTCGGCTCATTCGTTCACTAGTGAACATGCAATAAATCAGTCAACCACACATACATACATACATACATACATACATACATACATACATACATACATACATACATACATACAGTCAGACTACAAATCATAAATGACGATTGGAGGGGATGGGGTCGGCTTTTTTTCAGCCATTTATATAATGCATAAGCATACTTCAGAGAACCAATTTCAGACATTTAATGCACTCATCTCATTTATTAATCAAACATTTAAGGTTTTGGTGTTTAAGGGAAAATAACAGGATTATTAACTACAGTAGCATCTAGGCTAGTAGGCTAGTGTTTAACAGCAGATGTCGCTCTAGGCTAGTTTCTTTCAGTAGACGGTGCTCTAGGCTAATTTTTAAACAGCAGATGGCGCTCTAGGCTAGTTTTTATGAACAATTGGCGCTCTAGGTTCGTTTTTAAACAGCAGACGGTGCTCTAGGCTAGTTTTTAACAGCAGATGGCGATCTAGGCTATTCTTTAACAGCAGACGGTGCTCTAGGCTAGTTTTTAAACAGCAGATGGCGCTCTAGGCTAGTTTTTAACAGCAGACAGCACTCTAGCCTAGTTTTTAACAGCGGATGGCGCTTTAGGCTAGTTTTTAAACAGCAGACGGCGCTCTAGGGTAGTTTTTAACAGCTGATGGCTCTCTAGGCTAGTTTTTAACAGCAGATGGCGCTCTAGGCTAGTTTTTAACAGCAGACGGCGCTTTAGGCTAGTTTTTAAAACAGCAGACGGCGCTCTAGGGTAGTTTTTAACAGCTGATGGCTCTCTAGGCTAGTTTTTAATAGCAGATGGCGCTCTAGGCTAGTTTTTAACAGCAGACGGTGCTTTAGGCTAGTTTTTAACAGCAGACGGCGCTTTAGGCTAGTTTTTAACAGCAGACGGCGCTCTAGGCTAGTTTTTAACAGCAGACAGCGCTCTAGTATAGTTTGTAACAGCAGATGGCGCTCTAAGCTAGTTTTTAACAGCAGACAGCGCTCTAGGCTAGTTTTTAACAGCAGATGGCGCTCTAAGCTAGTTTTTAACAGCAGACGGCGCTCTAGGCTAGTTTTTAACAGCAGACAGCGCTCTAGTATAGTTTGTAACAGCAGATGGCGCTTTAGGCTAGTTTTTAACAGCAGACAGCGCTTTAGGCTAGTTTTTAACAGCAGATGCCGCTCTAGGCTAGTTTTTAACAGCAGACAGCGCTCTAGTATAGTTTGTAACAGCAGATGGCGCGCTAAGCTAGTGTTTAACAGCAGACAGCGCTCTAGGCTAGTTTTTAACAGCAGATGCCGCTCTAAGCTAGTTTTTAACAGCAGACGGCGCTCTAGGCTAGTTTTTAACAGCAGATGCCGCTCTAAGCTAGTTTTTAACAGCAGACGGCGCTCTAAGCTAGTTTTTAACAGCAGACGGCCCTTTAGGCTAGTGTCAAAGACAACCAATTTTTGATATAAATAGCAAATTTTGCTTAAGTTTGCATTGCTCATCATTATAAATGGACGATACCAGTGTTACTGTTTAACTTACATGTGTTAATTAAAATACTATGAGTTATGGATGGTCTATAAAATTCAGTCACTAGCTTTGTTTCCATCCAACTATCTTCACGCGCATTTAAAAATATCACATAATAAGGCTTATATAACAAATAAATAGTGTTATTCGATATCAAAAAGTACTTCGTTTTGGTCGGATTTTGTGCGAAATTACGTAATTTCAGTAGTTTTTCTGATTTCGTTTGAAGTATACCAAGGCTTTAAAGCTACACATGCAAACACTCACTCACACTAAAAAGTGACTAAACTTAAAACACATCTGAAAGGTGCTCAGAGTAGGGGTTAGTATAGACATTTTTCACTCATTTCAGCAGTTCAGCGCTGTTTCTTTACACTAATTCAACATTGCTCTCGATCATTGTAAACACTCTGAGTAGCTTATTTTTGAGGCATCAGCAAAACCATAAAGCTGTGTCCACTAAAACAAAACAGATAGTAGTGAGAAGAGACAAACTGCCACCCAGAAGCACAATCCAGGCATAGGGGGATCCTGATCTTAAAGTTACTCACAGAGGGAAAAGAATAGAAGATATAAAGACAAGGAGAGCAAGAAGTAGCGACTATACATGAGGGAGAACAAGAGATGAGAAAGAGAGAGGACTTTAAACACAGAGAATGGCATCCATGACTACAAACACATCATATAAGATCATTTAATACATATAGACCTGTTTAAAAAACACCTAAACAATATGACATTCAACATCACAAATACTACAGCCAAGATCATGACATTTGTCGGAGGATGGCCAAAAATAATTCAAGATACTGAGATTTTCAAAACACATCGCTGTTCTCTCTTGAATGGACTCTGAGCTTGGATTTTAACAGTAGAAGATGCTTTAATCTAGTTTTTAACTGCTGACTAGTTCTTTTAACAGCATAGGGCACTCTGGGCTTGTTTTGACAACTAGAGGTCTTTTAGAATTGTTTTTAAACAGCAGACGCATTCTAGGCTGGTGTTTAACAGCAAACAGCGCTCTAGGCTAGATTTTAAACAACATACATCGCTCTAGGTTTGTTTTTAACAGCAGACGGTGCTCTTGGCTAGTTTTTAAACAGCAGATGGCGCTCTAGGTTACTGTTTAACAGCAGATGATGCTCTATTCTAGTTTTTAAACAGCAGACTGCGCTCTTGACTAGTTTTTTAACAGCAGACATCGCTCTAGGTTAGTTTTTAAACAGCAGACGGCGCTCTAGGCTAGTGTTTAACAGCAGACGGTGCTCTAGTCTAGTTTTTAAACAGCAGACAGCGCTCTAGACTAGTTTTTTAACAGCAGACGTCGCTTTAGGTTAGTTTTTAAACAGCAGACGGCACTTTAGACTAGTGTTTAACAGCAGATGGCGCTCTAGGCTAGTGTTTAACAGCAGACGGTGCTCTAGTGTAGTTTTTAGACAGCAGACTGTGCTCTTGGCTAGTTTTTTAACAGCAGACGGCGCTCTAGACTAGTTTTTTAACTGCAGACGTCACTCTAGGTTAGTTTTTAAACAGCAGACGGCGCTCTAGGCTAGTGTTTAACAGCAGACGGTGCTCTAGTCTAGTTTTTAAACAGCAGACGGCGCTCTAGACTAGTTTTTTAACAGCAGACGTCGCTTTAGGTTAGTTTTTAAACAGCAGACGGCACTTTAGACTAGTGTTTAACAGCAGATGGCGCTCTAGGCTAGTGTTTAACAGCAGACGGTGCTCTAGTGTAGTTTTTAGACAGCAGACTGTGCTCTTGGCTAGTTTTTTAACAGCAGACGGCGCTCTAGACTAGTTTTTTAACTGCAGACGTCACTCTAGGTTAGTTTTTAAACAGCAGACGGCGCTCTAGGCTAGTGTTTAACAGCAGACGGTGCTCTAGTCTAGTTTTTAAACAGCAGACGGCGCTCTAGACTAGTTTTTTAACAGCAGACGTCGCTTTAGGTTAGTTTTTAAACAGCAGACGGCACTTTAGACTAGTGTTTAACAGCAGATGGCGCTCTAGGCTAGTGTTTAGCAGCAGACGGTGCTCTAGTGTAGTTTTTAAACAGCAGACTGTGCTCTTGGCTAGTTTTTTAACAGCAGACGGCGCTCTAGACTAGTTTTTTAACAGCAGACGTCACTCTAGGCTAGTGTTTAACAGCAGACGGCGCTCTAGGCTAGTGTTTAACAGCAGATGATGCTCTATTCTAGTTTTTAAACAGCAGACGGCGCTCTAGGCTAGTGTTTAACAGCAGAATGCGTTTAGAAAATCTCAATCAATTTTTGGTCACAGCTCTGGACTTTATGATTTTGATTTATAGAAAAACATTTCAAAGATTCGCTTCCACAAAAATAATTTTTTAATACATTTTTTATGAAATAGAAATGAAAATTGGAATTTCATGTCTTTTACTTAGTTTCAAACTATTTATGACAAAATCTTCCCAGTAATTTTTACATTAAATGTGCAGTTTTTGCATTCGGCTCTGTAGTGTACAGAACAACAAGAATGCTTTTTTTTTTTTTAAAGTTGTACAAACATCTTTCACAAAATGTCAAATATGAATTCTCACATTTTGAGCAGCTCTGGATGAGAAAATAGGTTTATGACACATTCACAGCATGAGAATCTGGCCAGTAATAATTCAGCCCTATCTAATTTTCAATTAGATCTAATTTTCCCATCTAATTTTCAATTAGAAAGTGAATGCAATTTCTCTTTCCTTAAAGAAAGAGTCTTGAAGGTTAGTGAAGGTGTACTTACCAGCGATGTTGCTGTCCAGCTCGTCCGGCTGCAGGCTGGTGACGCTGGAATTGTCCACACGGAGCTGCAAGTCATTCAGTTTCTCTCTGAGCTGCTCGATGTCACTCTCTTTGCTGTCCAGTTGCATCTGCAGCTCATTGCGATACGTGCACTCCTCTGCCCATTGCTGCAAACACAGACAACAGTATTAACCATCAGAAAACTACAGATCAAACAGTCATTAAGGTCATCAGATCAGTCTTTTCTGTCAATACCAAGGTCCCAGTATAAGCAAAAAGAGGATCAGGCTTTTACTGTTATCACTCCAAAATCCTAGAATAAGCTTCCCCCTAACATTAGACACGCTGTATACCATTATTTTTCAGCAGATTATACTATATATTTCACATGTCATGTACCTATTGTCATTAACTTTTGAAAATCATATCTCCCATGTCACAAAAAACGCCTTCTTTCATCTCAAATATCGATAACCTGCACAGCATGCTATCTATCTCACATGCAGAACAGCTAGTTCATGATTTTATGACCTCTAGGATGGATTACTGTAATGCTCTGTTTGCTAATTGTCCAGCATTCTCTATTAATATGCAGCTGCCAGAGTTCTTACCAGGTAAAGAAAATATGGCCATAACACCCCAATTTAATCCTCCTTACACTGGCTGCCTGTTATTAACTTCCGTATTGATTATAAAACATTGCTTCTTACCTAGAAAGCTTTAAATGGTCTAACTCCTGTTTATCTAACCAACTTTCTGTCTTGCTACAATCCAACCCGCTCTTTAAGATCTCAAAACTCAGGCTTCTGTTAGTACCCAGATAAGCAATGTCTACTAAAAGAGGTCGAGCTCCATGAACTTGCCGCCTGCATCTCGTTGAGCTCCTTCTGGTACTTGAAGGCCATGTGGTTGAACTTCTCCTTCTCCTGGTTGAGCTCCAGCTGGAGTTTGCGGTTCTCCTTCTCCTTCTTGCGGAGGTCGGTGGTGCTGCCTCGCTTCTTCTGGTCCTTCATGTCCTTACGGTTCATAATCTCCGCCAGCTTATTCACCGCCTGCAGAGACATGGAGAACAGTGAAGATGGAGAAGAACTTTCAAACATGTTTTAGATACATCTGACCAAAAACAGCCAACAATAGACCAACGAAAGACTATAGTTGATGTTAAAATGTTAATAGCCTGAGCTGCTAACAACAACAACAACAATCAGCTAACAGCCTGATCTTCTAATAAAGGCAACAAATAAATGCATTGGCATTTATAAACAGACATCTCTCAGTGTAAAAAACATTGAGTTGTTTTTAATCAATGCATCTGATGAAAAATATTCTGGATTTACAATCACTAAGTTTACTACATGCCGTTTATTTTTCTTCACATGTAATGAAGACATTTGAAGTTGATGGTTTTACCTGGGTCTTCAGAGTTCGTTCAATATTAAGGGCCTTCTCGTAATTTGCCTTTATTGAGTTTGTCAGCTCCTCTCTCTCTGCTGCAAACTCTACAGAAAGACAGAAGAAACAGGAGGATTAAGACAGACTATGGGACATCAGGACAGAATGAAAAGAAAGAAAGGAAGAACAATAGATAGATAGACCAACGGATATTTAAAACGATGGATGGATGGATGGATGGATGGATGGATGGATGGATGGATGGATGGATGGATGGATGGATGGATGGATGGATGGATGGATGGATGGATGGATGGATGGATGGATGGATGGATGGATGGATGGATGGATGGATGGATGGATGGATGGATGGATGGATAGATAGATAGATAGATAGATAGATAGATAGATAGATAGATAGATAGATAGATAGATAGAACAGAGAATGGACGGACGAACCGACAGACAGATAGATAGAACAAAGGATGGATGGACGGACGGACAGACAGTCAAAACAAAGGATGGACGGACAGACACACAGATAGACAGATAGATATATGGATAGAATGGCAGATAGATTGACAGATAGAATGATGGACAGATGGATAGACAAATAGACAGGCAGGCATATAGATAGATAGATGGATGGACGGACGGATAGATAGATAGACAGAACTGAGGATGGACGGACGGACGGACGGACAGATAGATAGAACAAAGGATGGATAGACGGACGGACGGACAGACAGACAGAACAAAGGATGGAGGGACGGATGGACGGACGGACAGATAGATAGATGGAAAGAATGGCAGATAGATTGACAGATAGAATGATGGACAGATGAATAGAAAAATAGACAGACAGACAGATAGATAGATAGATCGGCAAATAGATTGACATAGAACGATGGGCAGGCAGATAGACGGGCAGGCAGGCAGGCAGGCAGGCAGGCGGATGGATGGATGGACGGATGGATAGATAGATAGATAGAAAGATAGATAGATAGATAGATAGATAGATAGATAGATAGATAGATAGATAGATAGATAGATAGATAGATATAGATAGATAGATAGATAGATAGATAGATAGATAGATAGATAGATAGATAGATAGATAGATAGATAGATAGATAGATAGATAGATAGGATGGACAGAGACAGATAGATAGATGGATAAAAATATAGAAAGATAGATAGATATAACGGCAGATAGATTGACAGATGGATAGGCAGACAGACGGACAGATAGACAGATTACCTTGTTCTTGAGCTTGGATTCTCTCGTTAAATTCAGTCTTCTCTTTACTGAGGATCTCCACATCTTTGGTAAGGGTTTTATTGGAATCCTCAAGCTGAGCATAGAGGCATTAGAACACATTAAAAGCCACTATCATATAATCAAATATTAGACATGGATTACGAGAGAACACAGAAAATATGGACCATTCAGTAACTGAGATAGTTGATAGTTTCTAAAAAATACATTATTTCCAGTAACATTTTTAATACGCGCTTAAAATATATATGTATAATTACTTTTGACACCAGATATACCTGGAGTTATATAGACTCGCCTACACTGACTTTTGATCATAAGAGAGTGATTGAACACAAAAAGATGATACACGTGAGAAGGTCAGATTGAGCTAAAGATGCTGCACAGACCTGAGAGATGGTGGAGTCTTTCTCCGAGATCTCCTGTTTGTACCGGGACACGGCCTTCTTGTACTCCTGCGAGAGCTCGACATACTGCTCCTCCTGCAGCGCTCGTGCCAGCTGCTCCGACTCGGCCTTGGTCATGGTGAGGTCCAGCTGAGCCGACAGAGACTCCCTGCAGACAATACAATACAATACATGAGGAGTTTCAGTACAAATACTTTCTAGTGCAAATGTTGGCACTCTAGGCTAGTTTTTAAGAGGAGACGGTACTATAGGCTAGTTTTTAACAGCACATGGCGCTCTAGGTTAATATTTAATAGCAGACTGCGCTATAGGCTAGTTTTTGACAGCTAAAGGCACTCTAGGGTTGTTTTTAAACATCAGACATCATTCAAGGCTAATGTTTAACAGCAGTCGGTACGCTATGCTAGATTTTAACAGCAGATGGCATTTTAGGCTACTTTTTGACAGCTAACAACGCTCTAGGCTAGATTTTAAGAGCAGACAGCACTTTAGGGTTGTTTTGAAACAGCAGACATCATTCTAGGCAAAGATTTAACAGTAGACGGTGCTCTAGGCTAGTGTTTAACAGCAAACGGTGCTCTAGGCTAGTATTTAACAGTAGACGGTGCGCTAGGCTCGCTTTTTAACAGCAGAAAGTGCTTAACAGTAGTTTTTAAGAGCAGATGCTGCACTAGGCTAGTTTTCCAAAGCAGACGCGGCTCTAGGTTAGTTTTTCACAGCAGATGGTGCTCTAGGCTAGTGTTCAACAGCTGACGGCGCTCTAGGCTAGTTTTTTACAGCAGACGTCGCTCTAGGCTAGTTTAACAGTAGACGTCGCTCTAGGCTAGTTTAACAGCAGTCGTCGCTCATGCTAGTTTAAGAGCAGACGCCCCTCTATGCTAGTTTTTCACAGCAGACAGCGCTCTAGGCTATTTTAACAGCAGACACCGCTGTAGGGTTATTTTCACAGCAGATGGTGCTCTAGGCTAGTGTTCAACAGCTGATGGCGCTCTAGGCTAATTTTTCACAGCAGATGCCGCTCTAGGCTAGTTTTTCACAGCAGATGGTGCTCTAGGCTAGTGTTCAACAGCTGACGGCGCTCTAGGCTAGTTTTTTACAGCAGACGTCGCTCTAGGCTAGTTTAACAGTAGACGTCGCTCTAGGCTAGTTTAACAGCAGTCGTCGCTCATGCTAGTTTAAGAGCAGACGCCCCTCTATGCTAGTTTTTCACAGCAGACAGCGCTCTAGGCTATTTTAACAGCAGACACCGCTGTAGGGTTATTTTCACAGCAGATGGTGCTCTAGGCTAGTGTTCAACAGCTGATGGCGCTCTAGGCTAATTTTTCACAGCAGATGCCGCTCTAGGCTAGTTTTTCACAGCAGATGCTGCTCTAGGCTAGTTTTTAACAGCAGACTGCGCACTAGGCTAGTTTTTCACAGCAGACGCCCCTCTAGGGTAGTTTTTCACAGCAGATGGTGCTTTAGGCTAGTGTTCAACAGCTGACAGCGCTCTATGCTAGATTTTCACAGCAGACGTCGCTCTAGGCTAGTTTAACAGTAGACGTCACTCTAGGCTAGTTTAACAGCAGACTTCGCTCAAGGTTAGTTTAACAGCAGATGCCGCTCTAGGCTAGTTTTTAACAGCAGATGCCGCTCTAGGCTAGTTTTTAACAGCAGACGGTGCTCTAGGCTCGTTTTAAATCAATAAGCTCTTAAATCAAGCAGCATTTTCTAGATGAGCAAAACATAGTTTTGATTACAGATATAATTTGTCAAACCTAAGTTTGTTTTCCCTTAAAACAAGCTAAATAATCTCGTAAAAGTTGGCAATTATTTACTTTTTCACCTAAAAGCACATGACACTAATGAAATCTTTTTGAAATTGCAGCTTATTGACGATGACTCCTGATTTACTTCTCTGAGTTCAGGTCCTGGACTCTTTTGAGAGCCTCTTGAGTTTGTCGATTCTTCTCCTCGATCTCATCCTTTAGCTCCTTCACCTGAGTTTTATAGAGTGTCTGAAAACAAAAGCAGACATGGCTTGAGTACAGGGTCTGAGTTTAAAAACATGCATCTAAATAAAATAAAAAAAACTGTAGCATAAAATAACCCATAACCAAAGATAAATCTACTAATGGCTAAATAATACGGCGGCTGAGAGCTCAAATGCACTGAAACAAACTGAAACAACATCTACGATTTGAAAACACATGCACAAATTCTCAAAACACATGCAAATAAAGAAAGACACTACAGACAGAACAAACCACAACAGGTGACCCTAAAAATTGATGAATCAAGGAGGAATTATGGGAGCTGTCTGGGAGAAATAACAAAATGGGAGGGTGGTGGGAGATGGGTCTGAAATATGAGAGACTCGAGGGAAAAACAGCAGTGTTGGCAGGTATGAATTTGTCTACTGAACTGTGTATATTCTTGTTCATATTCTTGTCATGTGACTCGCGGTGCTGAAAAGTTTAGATGTTTTCAACGTACACAAGCCGTACGCCTCCTTTGGAGATAACAGACTTGTACAGAAAAGACGCAATATGTGAAAGAAACTTTCCAAAGACGTCTGTTTCTTACTAACTTTTTGCTAGTGGTTTATTTTTTGCCGCACAAGTGACCAAGATGTAACCGAGAGAATACAGTCATTTTTCAAACTAAAAGATTTTTCAAAATAAAAGATCGTTTAGACTCAGATAATAAATAAAACAGAAATAATGAATGATTTCTTGTGCAACCCCGTAGCAATTGATTCGCGGACAATCCGCGGCCTGGGGACCACTGATATAAAGTGTGCAAATTTATTAAGTAAAAATAAACTGCATTGAAAACACTAACATCAACTATTCTATATATAGCCTATATATTATTCTGCCAAAGACTATAAACAGACTTTGGTTCCACCCATTTTGTTCTTTGTGAAGATAAACGAAAAGATCTAAGCAGATTTTCAAAACACAAACAAAATGTTCTTTATGGTGTTGGTCGATTGCATTTTAAGACCTTTTAAGACTAATTAAGGCCTTATTTTTATACTATAGTATATACTATATATATACTATACTATTTTATACTATATATTTTTAAGACTTAAGGCTTTATAAGGATTCACTGACCCGGTTTAAAATCAATGAAAAAAAAAAAAGACTGCAAAAACCTTTGACAGTGTCTACAATATCGATCCACTCATTATGAAACGCTGATGTCAGATCATCTAAATAACTTTGCAACAGCTGTGTCTCAGAAGAGCCTGGCACACTATTGTTCCCCAAAGATCTGCTTCTGACTGACAGCTTACAAACTGTGTGGGTTGTGTCTGTTTGTTTTGAGCCGCAAGTAATTTATTGCTTTGGTAAGAAAGAAACCACGGCAGCATCTCCTCTATCTGCAGTTTCCATTTCATGCTGACTTGCTGCAGACTTGATTTTTTTTTCATTAAACATAGTGACATAAACACAACTTTCAGTGAATAATGTTTGTTTTTGGGAGAATTTCATTATTATTTAATTATATGAGACCTAGAACACAATACGTTAGTGATTTAAAAGCATTTAGGCTTTAAAGTGCACAAGAAATCAAAACTAACATACTGATTTTGTTATTGCTAGTTTTGCGCTGAACAATTCATCACGGCATGCCATTAAGAACAAAACAATAGCTTCCCCTTGTAATCTGAAATAAAAATCTGAAAATGCACTTCCTGTTTTGTTTTTAGTTAAATTCTCAGATTAGGTCTGTCTGAGGAATTGGGCGTGGCTAACATACTTAACCACGCCCCTTCAGCTGCCAGTCAACAAACAGAAATGTTTAGGGGGAGGAGTCTGTTAGGCTGTAATAACTCTCCCCACACCCTTTTCCCCATCTTTCTGAATAAAACGCCTACTTTACAACATCCAATCAGCTCGCAGTAGAAAAACAAGCCACACCCACTATTTTCTCATTTAATATTCAGTTTCTCTAGGAACTGCATCACAATACAGGGAACAAAAAGAGGGTTGCAGCTTCCAGTTCATGTGGACTTTTTATTCCCCATGGAAATGAATTTGAACTCATTTTTACAGGATGTTTTAGTACAATGTCATACGTCAATGAAAATCTGATTCTCAATTTACCCCTTCAAATGACCCCTTTAAGAGTGAGGGGGAAAAAAGAGAGAGAGAGTGTGTCAAAAGTGTGTGATACTCACTGAGAAATACTGCTCAGCCTCCAGCTGGTCCTGAAGTTCCCTCATCTGACCCTCATTTCCCCTGTACTGCCTGTGGAGAAACATGTCAGTCCATCACTTCAGCATCATAAACAATCCTCAATCAAACTTTCAAACTCAAACATGTCCATAAATTAACCTTTAAACTTAACCTTTCGATAAAAATAAATACAAAACGCCAATGTGCCTACTCTGATTTAAGCTCACAGAATATACAGTTGAAGATTTAGAAGATTTATATTCTGAATTTCCCTTTGGGATTAATAAAGTCTTAACGAACTGACTGACTAATGATATTACAGCATGTTGACCTTAAACTGCAGAACATGACGAAGTGAGGTATTACGAGCGGTCCAACAGAAGGCAAGGATTAACTGGTGTGGTCAGACGGAGGCTAATCCTTAATCCACTCATGTAAATATTGGCAGCCAACAGTTTTGGCCAGGTTTAAGCGTAATCTGCAATATTAGCTTTTTTCTGCAACAGCAAAGCGCTTCAGTAATGCAATAGCTGCTGGAGGTCAGAGCCAGAAAAGTGATGTTGTTTAGGAGCTTCAACAGAACCAATAATCTTAAATCATGACTAGGGCCAGATAGAATGTTTTTGGTATTTCTGCGCAGAATTAAATAAAAAAATCTGCGGATTTATGCAGAAAGACTTTTGAGAGAAACAAAAAACTTACCACATTAAACAAAATAAAATTTTTTTGACCTTGTATTTCTAATGGTTTGATTGGCTGATAGCCGTGTAATATTCTGCAATAACAGCACTCGTAAAGCCTCCTCACTCCTGTGTATTACTCCGCCCGCATAGAGTGACAGCAGATCAATAAACACTACAGTTTGACAAATATCGCAGCTGTTGGACAACATCAAGTACTTTTGAGGCTTTTTAGGCAAGAATGAGGTTGGTTAGATTGCAACTATGCAGTTTATTCATAAGGATAGTGCTTGTTGTAAATATTTATACTTCCGGAAATTCAGCACATTGGTGGCCATTAGTCATAATTCATACTGAGCAAAGCAAAGATGGTTGATGTTCCACCACAACATGGCGACAGAGACCAGATAATAAGTGCTTAGGGGCGAAAACTCAGCGTAATTTCAAATCACAGCTGATCAAATCATTATAAAACAGGTATGTGACACTCTAAATTGATCTCCCTCTTTTGTATGTTGTATTGCTGTATTTATACCATGGTAATCTGGTAGTGTTTGCTTGTTTTTTTTTTTGACAAGGTTAATGATCGTGATCTTCCGATTGCAACAGAGAAATACTGGGAAACCTCTGTAGACTGATGGCATTTCATGCTGTTCAGCCTTATAATCTTAAAATGTGAGCAAAATCAGCTGTTTTCTCATCACTTTAGACATTACGCTATAGAATCATTCAAACACTAGCTCTAAAATGACGTTGATGAACTGGCAAAGGTTTTTGCTGTTCTGACGTCAGCTGCAGATGTGAATCAATGGCGAAAGAAAGTAGTTCCTCTTAAGAAGGGATTTTTGAGACCCTTCGTGGTTGATTTTCTTTTTTCATATATACGATTATGCCGTCAAACTGTTGTATAAACCCAATATCACACAAGTAGCAGTGCAATATGGCTGTATATTAGCACTGCTGGGGCACTAAGGCACTCGGCCTGTGGCCTCGAGCCTATGCACGCCTCTCACCAGTGCCGATATACAGCCATATCACACTGCTAAGAGTATAATATATATATAATTGCTCATAATAAACTCTTAGCAGTGTGATATTGCTCATATATATATATATATATATATATATATATATATATATATATATATATATATATATATATATATATATATATATATACACACACACACACACACACACACACACACACACACACACACACACACACACACACACACACAGTATATATACGTACGTACGTATATATATATATATATATATATATATATATATATATATATATATATATATATATATATATGCAGTGAAATCTTGTTTAAATTTATGTAACTTAAAAGAACGTTATAATGACGAAACTTTTAAATTATGTATTTTGTATACTGATGCACAACTAAAGGTATGTGTACAACTTATATTTTAGATAACCTACAACGTCCTACCACTTATGTAAATATATAATGTTACATATAAATACAAAAAAACATTAAAAAGGCATCATGTTTACAAACGTTTAAAATATTTTAACTAGGCATATCTTTAACTTGTAGTTACCGATA